GAGCCTGGAGTTTTGGGAGGGGGTTTTGGGGGGACTGGGGGGGCTCCTCAAGGGACTTTGGGGGCCCCCAGGCAGGATTTGAGGTGAATGTTTTAAAGTTTGCCAGGGGGACATGGGGCAGGGGGAATGGGTGAAGTTTGGGGTGCCCAGACATGGCAGAGGAAGCCGAATCGTACCTCCCCAGCAGTTCTAGATCAAGACGGGGGGGTCCCACATTTCAGGGACTCCCCCAAACCCTTACCCCCCCCCCCCACCAGAGACCCACCGGACGGTGCTGAACCAAATCCTGCGTCAATCCACCACCCACTTGGCCGACGGTCCTTTTGCCGTCCTGGTTGACTACATCCGCGTCCTCGACTTCGACGTCAAGCGCAAGTACGTGGATGGAGGGGTTTAATTTGGGGGGGGGGGATCCCCTCAATCCGTGACACCCCCTTCCCCCCCCCCAGGTATTTCCGACAGGAACTAGAGCGGCTGGATGAGGGGTTGCGGAAGGAGGACATGGCCGTCCACGTCCGTCGCGACCATGTCTTTGAGGATTCCTACCGCGAGCTGCACCGCAAATCCCCTGAGGAGATGAAGAACCGCCTGTGAGACCCCCCAAATCCCCTCAGACCCCCCACAAATCCCCTCAGCCCCCAGCCCGGCACCAGTGGGTTGGGGACACACGGGGAAGGGACCAGGGTTGGGTTTTAGGGTGATGGGGTGGAGCATGAGGGAGATTCACATCCCCCCTCCTTAATGGGGTGTAGTTGGGGATTTGGGAGGATCAGGGTTGGGTTTAGGGGTGTGTGGGGACCCCCCAGCACTGTGTTAGGGTTTGGGGGGGACATATGTGACCAGGGATGGGTTTGGGGTTATGTGAGGTCCTTGGGGACCAGGTTTTGTGGTCCCCTGGGACTGTTACTAGGGGACTGGGGGGGCCCCAGGGGTGGGTTTGGAGTTACAGGAGGTCCTTTGGTCTCCGAAACACCCCTAACACCCCCCAGACCCCCAAAACACTCACCCTACCTGTCTCTTCCCTCCCCCTCCAGGTACATTGTGTTCGAGGGCGAGGAGGGCCAGGACGCGGGGGGTCTCCTGCGGGAGTGGTACATGATCATCTCGCGGGAGATGTTCAACCCCATGTACGCCCTGTTCCGTACCTCGCCGGGTGACAGGGTCACCTACACCATCAACCCCTCCTCCCACTGCAACCCCAACCACCTCAGCTATTTTAAGTTCGTGGGTCGCATCGTGGCCAAGGCCGTCTACGACAACCGTCTCCTCGAGTGTTATTTCACCCGTTCCTTCTATAAGCACATCCTGGGCAAGTCTGTCCGGTAAGAAGGCGGCCAGGGGGTAGCGTGGGGCAGTGAACACCCTCGAAGGGGTGGTGAGCACCCTTCTTGAGGTTTTGAATCACCTTATGGGGTGTTGGAACACCTTCACAGGGTGTTGAACCTCCTGGGGAGGCGTTAAATCCACCCTTGGGGTGTTGAACCATCCTCATGAGGTTGCAGCAACACTCCCATGGGGTGTTGAATGCCCCTCATGGGTGTTGGAACCTCTTGTTGGGGTGTTGAACCTCCTGGTGGGGTGTTGAATGCCCCTCATGGGGTGGTGAACCACCCTCACAGGGTGTAGAACACCCCCATGGGGGTGTTGGACCTCCCAGTGAGGTGTTGTAACCCCGTCATTGGGTGTTGAACCCTCCTCAGGGGGTCTTCAACCTCCTGGTGGGCTGCTGAACCCCTCTTATGGGATGTTGAACCACCGTCACAGGGTGTACAACAGCCCCACAGGGTGCTGAACCTCCTGGTGGGGTGTTGAACCCCCCCCTCACAGAGTGTTGAACCCTTTTTGGGGTGTAGAACCTTCCCTCCTGGGGTACAGAACCCCACCTTGATGGGGTCTTAAACCTCCTGGTGGGGTGTTGAACCCCCATTTTGGGGTGCCAAACCCCCTTTTTGGGGCGCTGAACCCCCTCATGCTGTGCCAAACCCCAAGAGTGAGGTGCTGAGCCCCCCCTCGTGGCATCTCTGACCGCCCCCCCCCTACCTGGGCGCAGGTACACGGACATGGAGAGCGAGGACTACCACTTCTACCAGGGCCTGGTGTACCTGCTGGAGAACGACGTCTCCACCCTGGGCTACGACCTCACCTTCAGCACCGAGGTACACGTCACACCACCCCCCCCAAACCCCGGGGACCCCCCCAGGGGCACAGGTACCCCCAAAAAACAAGGCATGGGGATGTCCGTGTCATGTGTCCCCCCCTACCAAATCTCTGTGGGGAAGGGTCCTTCTGTTTCGGGGGTGTCACTTGTGTCCTGGGGGGGGGTCCCCAAGTCCCAGGAGTGTCCCTTGTGTCTTTGGGTGTGTCCCCTCTGTCCTGGGGGTGTCCCAGTTTGGGGGTGGCCCCTCTGTCCTGGGGTGTCTCCCTCACCCTGCCCACCTTGAGAGCGTCCTTTCTGTCCCGGGAGAGGGGGTGTCCCCTCATTCCCCACCCCCCCCTTCTCTAGGGGTGTCCCCTCTCTCCTCGGGGTGTCCCCTGTGCCCCAGGAGTACGTGTGACACCCCCCGCCACCTTGCCCCCCCCTTCCCCGCCCACAGGTGCAGGAGTTTGGGGTGTGCGAGGTGCGGGACCTGAAGCCCAATGGAGCCAACGTGCTGGTGACGGAGGAGAACAAGAAGGAGTACGTCCACCTCGTCTGCCAGATGCGCATGACCGGTGAGTGCCGCCGGGTTTGGGGGTACCGGGGGCCCGGGGGGGGTCCTCAACAACCCCCCCCTGACACCTCCCCCCCTTCAGGAGCCATCCGGAAGCAACTAGCCGCCTTTTTGGAGGGTTTCTACGAGATCATCCCCAAACGCCTCATCTCCATTTTTACGGAGCAAGAGCTGGAGCTTCTCATCTCGGGGCTGCCCACCATCGACATCGACGACCTCAAGGCCAACACCGAGTACCACAAATACCAGGGCAACTCCATCCAGGTGAGGTTTTAAACACACACCCCCAAAAAAACCCCTAATTTTGGGGGTTTTGGTAGGTGCTGATGATCGTTTCCTACCTCAGATCCAGTGGTTCTGGCGAGCGTTGAGATCTTTCGACCAAGCGGACCGAGCCAAATTCCTACAGTTTGTGACGGGAACCTCCAAGGTGCCGCTGCAGGGTTTCGCCGCCCTGGAAGGAATGAACGGCATTCAGAAATTCCAGATTCACCGCGACGACCGGTCTACCGATCGACTGCCCTCCGCTCACACCTGGTATGGGGCTGGGG